TATATATATATATTTTTTTTTTTTGAGGTCAAACCATTTTATTGAGGACCGTCTGGGGGTCTGAGGCGGTGTGGACAATGAGGTCTGATAATTGGTGGTCTGGCCGAGATCTCTTAGAACTTGCAGCCACCAAAAGCTAAAATAGTATTTTTTACAGTTATTTTCATTATTAATTCCCTTATAGGTATATGACACTCTATTAAATGCTACAAAAGAAGGATTTCTGATAAGTCTAATGAATCTTGTTTTCTACTGATTTCTTCCTAGGAATGCTGCATGGCTATTCCTCTTTCTCAAATTGTGTTCATTGAGGAACAGGCGGCTGGAATTGGGAAAAGGTAAGGTCAATATTTTACAGTCTGTATTTATGAGAAGATGTTTCCAATCAAGCCATTATTCTTAACTTGATTTATTGCTGTGCCATAACTGTCTATTTGGTAATGCTACATAATTATGTTTTGCGGCTTTATAAATGATAGTCATTGGTCAGGAGACCCCTTAAAAAGGTGTTTTCCTACTTTAGTCTCATGATATATAAAGTCCTTTGTAAAGCATAAAGAAAGTAGTAAGAGTTGCCTTGATATCCTTTGGTCATAATAAATAAAGGTGGGCCAGCTATCATTGTACATATTTCCACAGTCACCTACTTTCATATGTTTGTGTACCAGCTGTTCAGTACTTAAAATAAAAAATGACCCATCTGAGAAAAATAACTGACTTTGCTTTTATTTCTAGATGATCATTAAGTTTATTAACTAACACTGGCTTTTTCAGGTATCAGTGTTAGAGGATCTTATCAGTTAATGTCCTAACTGAGACATTTATAAGAATAATAGGAAGTATTGTTAGTGATTAGACTGCAGAAACGAGCACAAAATTGGACTGATCCAGGCACATCAGAAGATGTGATCAGTCTGGTTTAAAGCCATAGTTTCAAGTGGTATATTGAAGTATACCAATATTTTTGGCTCTATATTTTAAGTACATGTAATTAGAAACAAATATTACTAGTACAGACTTCCAACCCACTCCTACCCCATATAGGTCCTTCTTTAGGTTTATCACAATTAGATAGTTTAATGAAGTTAAACAAATGTTGAATTTTGCTGGAAATGCAAAGTGTATCTTAATTATATTGTCATAGCTACCATAAGAGATTACTTGTTGTTGTTGTTTTATTTTATTTGACATAAAATAAACATTATGAAAAGATGAATAAGCTATAGATTTATAAATTGTTCTTTTAATTTATATTTCTCCATTGCTTGCTTTTCTCCAACTTATCAAAATAAAGAAAGTAAAACTTAAAGGGTGTTCTGGATCATTTGAATTTCCCTCTGTTGTATTCCAAGGAATTTGAACTCTATAACAAAAATATTTAAAACATTTACCTTCATATCAATGTCTCTGTGTCAATCCAGACAAAATAAATATTTGGATTGACACAGTGGCTGTAACAATGGGCTCAAACATAGTAACAATTGTAAGGATGGCACAAGACTGGGCAGTGTTTCGTTCTGTTGTGCACGTAGTCACTGTAAGTCGAAATTGACTAGGCAGTACCTAAGAACAACAACATCATTAATGTCTTGTTTTGTAAACATCCTCAGTGAGGAAGAACTCAATAATATGCCAGGTTAACTTTTCTCAGACATTCTCTTTAATCCATGGCCATTCTCTCCCCTCCAAAATACAAAACAATTACCCTGTCTTTATTAATTCTATGCAGTAAGGATAAGCATGAATCTAGTCCCCAAAATGTGCAGAGTCACACAGTTCTCACTTTCTAGCTGCTCCATCCTTACCAGCAGCAACCTCCTTGGCACTTTCTCTCTCTCTGACCTTACTCAGAGCTAAGTCAGAGCTCACAAGTTAAAAGGACACCATCCTTCAGACTGCCAAATAGGCAAACACCTGTTGCAAGTTTAGGGAGTCCACACAACACCTCATCTTTCTGATCTGCTGCTACCAACTCGGGCCTGGTTTCCTGTTACCCTTTCAGATGTCAGACGTAAGCTCAGGAGCCCATACAACACTTTTTGATCAGCTGGCTTTGGGTTCAGTAATTACTGCTATGACTCACAGAGTTCATAGTGTGTATACCGTACTTGTGACTACAGATTTATTATAGCCAAAAAGGATGCAAATGAAGAGACACATAGGGAGAGGTCTGGAGGGTTCCTAGTGTAGAGCTTTGTTGTCCAAGGGATGTACTATGCTCCCAAGAGATGTTCTCATCAATCAGGAAGCTCTCTCAAACACCATGTTGAAGGCTTTTATCAGCCAGTCTTGCGTAATAGGCTGAATCATGCCTCCTGAGAGTCTTTTCTTGTCTGGCCAGCTTCCACTCACCAGCACCAATTCTCAGATGTGGCCTAGAAGTCCCAGACCAAGGTACCCCAATTATTTTAAGGGTTATATCTCTAGAGCCAAGGATAGAAGCTACCTTACTTAGAGTAAATCTAGGTGTTTTGCTCCACAGATTCTAAGATGTATATATATATTTATCCTTTCAAAAATCTCTAAATTGAAGATGCTTCTTTCATTTAGTGGATTATTAATTTGATGAAATATGGTAATTGAGTGACCCAGTAAATAAATACATGAAAAAAATGGCATGGATCTTTCATGCTTACTTCATTTTGTATCATCTTATAGTTTTTCATTAGATTTCCTTTGGCAGAATCTGACAGTAGGGCTCAGGTTTTTTAGTTTTATAAATTGTTGATGCTTTTGTTCAGTCACCTTAGCCTGATTGTCATAGCTTTTTGCTTTAGTTAATGATTTATTTCAAGCAGTCTTATGATTCTACTTGCACAGTTTGTTTGCTCGCTTCACTTAATCATGTTCACCATAAAGGAATAGATGAAGAGGTCTTCCACAGCTGGCCCCAGCTCACTAACCACAGCGTTCATTATGTTGAGAATGTCCAAAACATGGTATTTCCATTTTACAGTGATATTTAGGCAAGCACATGGGCCTAAATGAAGAAAATTAAAATTGAGTAATAAATGTATCTGTAATGTGAGAATAAAGAAAAAGCTCTAAACTAGGTATCCAAAGTATTTTGACTTTATGAGTTTCTTTTTTTCTGCTTTATCTTTTAGAAGATTTTTTAATTGTATGTTGTTGTTGATATGTGCTGTCAAGTCGGACCCGACTCATAGCGACCCCTCCTTGGGTTTCCGAGGCAGTATCACTACAGAAGTAGATTGCCCCATCTTCCTTCTGATGAGTACTGGTGGCTTTGAACCGCCAGCCTTCTGGTTAGCAGTCAAGTGCTTTAGGCACTATGCTACCAGAGCTCCTATTAGAATATTATCTAGGTGATAATATAGAATAACATTTAAAGAGATGCATTTTAGGCAATACATGATCTAAATTTTTATGAAGTAAAACAAGCAATAGTTTATAAATATTTCTAGGTAATGAAAGTATTCTAATTGTCAAAGTTAATTATTAATCAAAGGGAAAGTATATAAAAATTTTAGGTTGGAAATAAGGCATTTGTGACCCTTGAAAAAATAGAGCAAATTTAAGCTTTGTCCTTTTCACTATACAGGTAGATCATTATTATCACATTGGCTTGTGTGCGTAATCTGCTCTAAATCTACACAAACTTCAGGTCAAATGGAAACTTTTATTACTTGGAAATAAAAAAAAAAAAAATTGGTGGAATTTCAAAAGCCAAAACTTTTAGTACCAAGAAACAGAAAAGGTGAAAAAGCTGCCTTGTTTTTAAATAGTTAATAATATGACAGTAAACTTTGATTTACTTTAGAAGATCTGCAATTCTTGCCTCAGACAATTTAACATGGTGTCATGACCATTCTCATTTCTACAGAGAAAATATACACAAGATCCAGGTAATGGTACATTGAAAGGCCTATATTGTTACCTGTGGCTGCTTCTATTCTGCATCTGTTATTATAGAGGTCAAGTATCAACAGAATGGAAATCATGGGAAGGAAGAATTAAAAGAGTAATGAGTCTTCAGCCTATACAACTATGAAACCACAAGAACTAGATGTTGCCAGTCTACCACTGGTTAAACACTTGGAGGGGAATCTATGTAGGAGATCCTGGATAGAGTGGGAGAACAATGTGAAACAAAACTCAGAATCATTTGAAAAATAAATAAATAAATAGGGACCAGGTTTGCTGGTGTGATAGAGCCTGATGGAACCACTCAGACTATGGATCTTAGCTGCCCTTCAGGTCTGCAATTGAACCCACTCCTGTGGCTTCCAGCCAAACAAAAGACAGATATATGAGGTAAACATTTACACTAGGTAGATACACTCCTTGGAGAGAACAATCATGGGAGAATAGAAGGGCTGGGTATGCACAGGGAGACAGTTAAGGGGGCAGGAGTGCATGGAGGGAAAGACACAGGGAAGAGGTAACTATGGGGAGGAAGTGAGTAAGGAGCTGTTGCATTGTGGGAAATTGTAGTCAATGTCATGAGACAAAGTGTATGTGAACTGCCGTATGGGAAGTGAATTTGCTCTGTAAACTTTCACCCAAATCACAATAAAAAAAAAAAGAGTAATGAGTCTTTTGCTGAGTTGGATATGTCTCAAAAAAGTTCTTATGGGTAAGATCAGAAAAGGACATTGTGCATATGGATACTAATAGGGTATATGCTGTAAGAAGATACCCAAAAAAGTGCATCTGAAAATGATTTATATTTAACCAGCACTTGTTCTATGTAAGGTTACTGTTGGGAATGACACAGGATAGCAAGTATTGGTTGCACTTCTTTACAAGCAATATGGAATAAGATATATGAACCATAAAGTAAACCTAAATTTAATATCTATAAAATGGAGTTATAAGTAGGGAGTGATAATTCTCCCATTTGCCTCTTCAGTATTTCTCTTTATAGAATCTTTTTCAGCAGTATATCAATACACGCCCTGCCATTTCTCACATCTTAAAAAAGCAAACCTCTCACAAATACAAAAACCAAAGAAGTGAAGATGAAGTATAATCCCAAGTTTGAATATCAGTATTAATTGATGTATTTTTCTTTCTTTAGAAAATGAGTAACATTAGATGGGGTAGGCAATGTATAAGATGAACTTTGAGCATCTTGCACTAGGGGCCAATAAAATTATCAGACAATCAGAGTGACAGAAGAACTCGAAAGCCAACATGAAAGGGTTTCTAGTGACTATAGATGGGATAATTTGAGTATTTTAAAGTATTTTAAAGCATTTTAAAATTTAAACACATATACACTCCAAAAATGCACTAAAATATAAATGATGGTAAAAGCCATGAGACCATAATCTTACTAAATTTTTTTAAAAAAATTGATCACATTGGAAGATACTTGAGAACTAACTAGTATGCTGAAAATTAGTGACTAAAGGTAAATAACTGGGCCTTTATCCTGATTTCCCTGGGAATATGAACTTATACCTCAGAATTAGAAAGTTACTGATAAAGACAGTAGTATTGTTTGTTTTAAAAAGATCCACTAACAACTAAAAACAGAACAAGAATTTGTTAGTTCTAATGAAAGAATAGATCCAGATAATGATCATAGGTGTTTCTAAAACCATTAGGTAAAAAACCTATAGGGGATATTGTAAGTGATCAGGCTGACAACACCTGACCCATAGATCAACCTAAATATTACAAAGAGAGACCCTCAGACATTATTTGTTTCCTGTTGTGGTGCAACAGGAATGTACAAAACACCATTAGTATTCTTGCCATAAAAACCACTGCCATCGTAGTTGAACCTGTGGGCTTTTAATTGTATAGATCTGGAAAAAAGAAAGGGAAACAGGTTCATAAAAGCCAAACAAATATAGTGGTATTTTCAATAGCATAGAAGATAATGGTAGTTTGTGCTATTGAGTATCTTTCTAGATCATGCTGTTGATTGAGTGGCATTTTCCAACAAATGACACTGTAGAATGTTAGTTTTGGATGCTGTTTCAATAAAATGTCACCTGGCCAGTTTTACACAGATAAGTTTTCACATTTTGTTTTCCAATGAGTAAGGTAGTGTGCTTTGGCAGACATTACAAGCCCTCTTGGAACCTCTGGGAATGACTGTGTAGATGGAAAACCCTAATCACACGCCACCGAAAATTCAGCAACTTTACTTTGAACTTATTTTCTAAAACCACATTTGTATTTAATCCATTGATCTAGTAAATGGAAACTTTTTGGTTCGTAGTAAGTTTTAAATAGAGATCTTCTTGAAAGGTTCATTAATCCTGAATTAATATAATTTTTTTAAAGGGTGCTTTTCTGATGGTCTTTGTTTCTATATGAATTTTAAAAGTGATCTGAAATATATTAAGATATATGAAAATAGAATTGATGAGTTTTTAAAAGGCAATTAAATACACGTGCTCTTTTTTCAGTGCCAAAATTGTGGTTCATCTTCACCCATCTCCCCCTAACAAAGAGCCTGGTCCATTCCAGAGTAGCAAGAATTCCTACATCAAACTCTCCTTCAAAGAGCATGGGCAGATTGAAGTAGGTTTCTACATGAATAAAGTTGGACTGGAAATGTGTTTTGTGTATGTATTTTGTGTTGCTTGTACAAGTATGTAATTTTTGTGACCACAGGAGGGTGTGGTCACAAGGAAAGAGTAGAGGCTGGAAATACGCTGATTATGAAGTTTTCAGTGGTATAGTTTGGTTAAAGGGACAGAGTATGATGTAGTGAAACATTGTATTACCTCATATCTGAAAACTCACCAGCCTTAAAATCAGGTAATCCATCTGATTAACTCCATACAAATCTAATCACTCAACTACTTATTCCACAGTATAATAGTTTATATGTCTGCTTGGTAAGTCACTCACTATACAAGTGACATTTACAAGTGTGTGTGTTTATCTTCCCATCAATATAATAAAATATTCATGTTTTTTTTTCCTCAGCAGCCTGTCACCAAGTGTTCCTCCTCACACGATAGGCACTAAGCAAATACAAGTGACTGACTGAAGTCATTCTCACTGTAGTTGAAAAATATATTTGATATTTTGTGAGTGTAGGCATGTTTTTGCCCTAATTTAGAGCTTCCATTTTAAACAGACAAATTATTTTCTTCTTCCTTCATGGAAAATGGTTCCGTATTTTTCCTGGCACTTCTCTGAGAGTGTTATTTCACTATAGATTGAAAACAACCCATGTGTGCAGGATTGTTTAAAGTGAGTCTATTTATTTCATCATTGCTTATCTCTTTGTTGAGAGTAGCCTACTTTATATGGAAGGTCAGTTCCTGCTTTTTTTTTTTTTTCCTTTGTGCTTTGTGAGATTGGTCCAAGAAAAGAACTTCCTTTGATTTCCTTTGATGTTTCTGAGAATTCTAGACTTGTTGCTAATGACTGACGGAAATAAACTTCTTTAAACTGAAGAAATATTAAGTAATAATTTGTACAAGATGCCACAACTTGACTCATTTAAAGTGTATGCATGTACATAACAGTTTTACAGGCGTTTATCGGAAGAAATGACACAGAGAAGATGGGAGAACATGCCAGTTTCCCAGTCATTACAAACAAATAGAGGACCCCAGGTATTATTTTTAAACTATTAGTACAGTATTTTCAACTCCATGCTTTCTTGCATCTTCATTAAGGAAGAGCCTCTGATTATAGAACTTGCCAGAAGCAAAATAATAATATTCTGATTACAGGTTTATTTTCTATAACCTAATTTAGTGCTATATGGACAGACAGTAAATACTTAGTAAGCATAAATAATTCGTTACCAGAGTAATTCTCATCGTGGTAGAAGATTCCACTTCCAGCTTTCTGTTCTTCATAATCAAGAGTAGCATCCAAGAGAATAGAAGATATCGCTAGGTAATGATTTCCAGCCTAGTCTAAATTAATTAACAACTATAGACAGGCACTTAAATGTGTGAAATTAGCTTGTGTACTGTCAGGTGCCAAAATTGTAACTAATTTTTTGCACATTTGAGATTCCATTAAAAATCTGATAAACAATAGCTAGCTAAGGAGCAAAAAGAATAGGACATGTAATTTGTATCTAAAATACAGGGTAATATATGCCATTTATTTTATGTTAGTTTTTTCTTTAATGATTTGAAAATCATTCTGTACATTAAGAAATGTTTTGCAAGGAAGTTAGATGTAATTGTATACTTTTCTTTGTTTTTAGTAGGTCCTTTCCCACCATTGAAAACACAGTGTAGTGGGCTACAAAAGATTTTGTTTCCTTCCAAATTTTTTTTTTAAACTTTCTACTTCTGTTTTTCAGCCAGGAAGAGTAAGAGCTGTGGGAATTGTAGGTATTGAAAGGAAACTGGAAGAAAAAAGAAAAGAAACTGACAAAAATATTTCTGAGGTAACTCTTAACACAAGTTCTGGTCAGTCATCTTTCTCAGCCATTTGTATTTATTCTTTTCCATATAGCTGTGACTGATTCCATTCTGTAATTTGGAATATATTTAATTTACCAGAAGCCATGTAGTTTCCAGTTCTATTTTTTCCAGTTTTACCTCAATAAAGCCAAAACATGTTTTAAAAAGATTTTCTAAAAAGGAAAAAAAAAAGCAAATTTGTAGTCTGATGTTAGAAAACATGTTAAAATGTTATAATTTTAAGTGTAATGTGTAATTTTCGAGGGTGGAATTGATCAGAGAATACTCATAATGAATTCAAGGTCCTCTAATAAATTATTTTGGAAACTTGGTTAACTTAGCTGAGAGAAAAATGCTTTAATTGTGGCCATACACCATCCAGTTTTTTGCTGATGATCACTTAGGGACCAGACAGAGACATTAAGTATGGCTGAAACTAGGCCACCACATCTACTATGAGAACAACTCTGAGTATGCATATTATGTTTCCGAAGCTTCATCATAAACCAAAAAAACGAACTCAACTGCCATTGAGTCGGATCTGACTCATAGCGACCCCTCCTTAGGTTTCCAGGGCGGTATCTCTACAGAAGTAGATTGTTCAACCTACCTTCCAAGGAGTGGCTGGTGGGTTTGAACTGCCAACCTTCTGGTTAGCAGTCATATGCCTTAGACAGAATGCCACCAGAGCTCCTATCTAGAGTTCTTTTCCCTTTACTTTAGTTTTCTCATATATGATGATGATAAAGCTTCATCATATGTGAGAAAGTTGAAGTAAAGGGAAAAGAACTCTTGTAAAGAAAGCCAGTTATGCATTAGATTCTGTAATTAGTTAATATATTTAAATATATCATTGGTTTTTCAATGTTTGTAGGTAAAATTTCATTAATGGGCACTGTTCATAGAAATTAAAAAATACATGTCAGTAAAATGAAGTCCGAATGGGTTCACTGATTCAGAATATAGATTGTAATTGAGGAACCTAGGGCATTTGACTCATTAAGTGCATGGTCTAGATTTAACTGTATTCTTGTGGTATAGCTGTACATGTTCCATGGCCCTTTGTATTACCTGCAAATTGGCAGCAGGATCCAGGAGTTTAATGAGATTTATATTCGATCCCTTTGGCAAGACCGTATGTGTTAGTATACGTTTAATATAACAGGTAAAAGCTCAAAGTTGGTTTAAAACCCTATAAAAAATGTGTGCATATGTTCTGGTTACCTAGTGTCGCTCTGACGAGAAACGTACCACAAATGGGATGGCCTTAACAAACAGGAGTTTATTCTTACAATGTGGAGGCTTTAAGTCCAAGTTCAAAGTGCCAGGCTCTAGGGGCTGGGTGAAAGCCCCTCATCCTTGGGTTCCAGCTCTGCCTCCTGCTTCTGGCCCACTGGAGCTAGAGACATTTCTTCACTCAGACAGCTGCTGGCTGCTGAGGCTGAGAAGCCCCAAGGTTGACAAGTAAAAAGGCACAGTCTTGATGTTACCAATCCACACGGCAGGCCATTAACTTAAGTCCACTGTAAGTCCCAAGGTTGGCAGAGCATAGCAGGCTGCTGAGCAACGACACGGCTACATGCAGGGTCCAAGCGTGCCAAAAAGGCTAGAGACCTTTCCTTATATACAGGAAGCAGACCACATACCCAAAGGCAGCTACTCAGCTGCTTGTGGTAGATCCCACCATGAAGTTGATTGCCAGTCTCATCGTGGGGAATAACTACCACCAGCTGCCCAGCCACTCAACCAGTCCCAGCCAAGTTGACACAAAAACATAACCACCACAGCATATATATTTAAAACATAACCACCACAGCATATATATTTAAAACTGCATATTGTTAAAAGGTTATATACTTTATTACATTAATAAATGTTAAACATCTTTCTTTTTCTTTATAGTTTTATCCCCTAAATGTATAACCCCAGATAATATAGTTTAATTTTGCTCATGTTTAGAACTTTGATGTATCTTGTAAATTTCTTTTAATCTATGGATTTTTTTTTTCATTATTCTTTTGTTTTCATTACAATTTATCTGTTGTGTAGACCAGGGCATCTGAACCCATTAAGTGCCCATGGGCTAAGTTTCCTGATTGCATGCTTAGGGTACAGTTGCACATGTTCCTTTGTGTCTTAGTTTCCTAGAGCTGCTGTTTACAAAATACCACCAAGTAGGAGATTTTAAAGAACAGAAATTTGTTGTTTCACCATTTTGGAGTGTTGAAGGCCAAATCAGGGTATTGGCAATTTGAATTCCTTCTGAAGTTTCTGAGAGAGACACTGTACCATGCCTCTCTTCTAACGTTTGCTGGCAGCCTTCACATGATATCCTTCCTTTGTGTCTCTTTATCTTTTTTATGAAGCACCACTCAGATGGAATTAGGATTCATCCTAGTACAATATGATCTCATGTGAACCTAACTAATAACATCTTCATAGAAAGATCTTACTTCCAAACAAAGTCACACTCACGGATACAGGACTTAAGATTTCAGCATCTTTTTAGGGGATATAATTCAGTCCACAACACTTTGCCCTCTGTATTTCCTACAGATTGGAAGCTGGAATCTGAGGCTTCTTCAAGTTCGTGTTTCATCTTTTTGGGAAGACTAGAGGTTATACCTTTTCAGTGGACAGAATCAGGATTTTATTTTATTTTTTAATAGTATAGTGTACCTCATGAGATCATGTTGACACTTCTTACTCAAATCCAGGACTATAGTACCAAATAATTACAGAGACTGTTAAAAAGAATTTTTTGTATATACTCTCCATTCTTCCCACCTTAAAAATGTGTGAGTTGTATCTATGTTATTTGAACATTTAGCCACTACATACATTCTCCCCTCTAGCCCTCATTTACTCTCAAGTTTTTCTAAATAAGGAGCTCTAGTGTCTCAGTGGTTAAAGCACTCAGTTGCAAACTGAAAAGACAGTGGTTGGAACCCACTCGCCACTCTGTGGGAGAAAGATGTATTGTCCATCTACTCCGGTAAAGATTCACAGTTCCACTTTGTCCTAGAAGGTCCCTGTGAGTCGGAATCAACTCGACGGCAGTGGTCTGGGCTTTCTGTGTTTAATCCTCACCGCTTATCCTTACATTGATGCCCTGTGGTCATTTTGGTTGTTTGAAGCTCATTCTCTAGTAGATTATCCTTGTAGTGCTCATGGGAACAGTATTCCCTGAGGTCTGGCATGTTGATAACAGTTTGTGTTCTTCATACATGAACCTCAGTTTTGCTGGATGTATAATCCTTGGCTCACACGCTTTCTTTCCTTGAGTATCTTCAATATGTTACTTCATTTTTTTTTCTCTCCTTAAAGTCCAGTAATTTTAGTAGAATATATGAGCATGTTAGTTATTTTGGGTGTTATCTCAGGTACACAATGTGCATATTCAATAAATAGTTTCAAAAAGAATTTTTAAAAAATTTCAGGGAAGTTCTTCTGTATTATAATTTTCAATACTTGCTTTGGTTTTCATTTTCAGGAACTCCCATTTGTTGTATGTTCAGCTTTACTGTCTATCTTCACTCTTTGTGACTGTCTTTCACGTCCTTTTTATCTTTACTTTTTCTTCAGAAAGTTTTCCTCATGTTTCTCTTATGGTGTCATCTATTTTGTTTATTCACTTGTGTTCTGTCTTGTGTAGTCTTTTTCTGAAATGATTTTTTTTTCTTTTCTTCTTAATTCTCTTTTAAATCCTGTCATCTGATTTTTTATACATATTGTGCTTTCATATCATGTATCAGTTTCTTAACATATTTTAGCTCATTTTGAAATAGAGAATGTTAAGTTTTGATCTGCTCTATGGGTATGTCCTCCTGGTATGCTTTTATAGGGGGCAGAGTGTTACACTGCTTTTTCTTTTTTCTAATGATAACTTTGTGTGGGATTTGACTTTGATACGTTGTTGTTGCTAATTCTTACCTGAAATTAGTTTTCCTAAACCTTAGAGTGGGCTTAGTTCAGGGTGGCTATTCTTACTTCATAGGGCTTCCTCTTCCCTACTTCAAGCAGTGTTAAAAAAGATGGCAACTTGCTTTTTGTGGTTTCCTGGCTCTGTTCCCATCTCCCATTTTAATCTAGGCCTTCTTTTTCCTTTCTATTATTATCTTTACCTTGTTTGCTCTTTAATTTTTTTCCCTATAGTTTCTCCTCAGAGTGGGGTTCTGTGCTGGAAGAGCAGGTGTGTTTTGAGAGTTCATAGGGACTAGACTGCTTCATGTCCTTCGGCCCTTACTGAGGGCCCCTTGCAATCATCCACTACTGGAAGAGGCAGACCCTTCCAGCTTTAGGCCTGAACATTCCAGTGAATACCTATTGTTGTTGTTGTTGTTTTTTGCTATCAAGTTGGATCCAACTCATAAGCGACCCCTCCTTGGGTTTCTGAGGCGGTATCAGGAGCTCTGGTAGCATAGTGCCTAAGGCACTTGACTGCT